GTCAGCTGGAGGGCACCGGTGGGGCCATCAGAAATACTGACCCTTTAGCTGGCCACTGACAAGAGGGCATTTCCGTCTTACTCTGAGAATAAATGAACACTGGGGATGTTCTCATTCACTCTTGCTTCCCAATGACATTTTCCACTGTCCTGGATGAGACGGGGACAAGCCCTGGCCAGGTGATGTCCACTTACTACATTAAAAAGAAGTACATTTTCCATTAATTGAAGACAACTGAGCTCCATAGTCTGGACATTCCCCAAGCAGAAGGGACCACAGCAATGACAGTAGTGACACCACGAATGGGTGGGAGCCGGCTACTGGTGGGCAGACAGTTACAAACCCTACTTGGCATGGCTGAAAATGGGATACGTTTTTACATCTAATCCTCTCATGTGAAATGTTTAGATAACACATTTAAAGAAATTAGAATAGAATAAACAACTTTGAGTATGTTTCCCTTGGGACAATAGAAATAAGTAAATCATTTCTAGCACTAAAGCTAAAAAATGTCCGTCAAGGGAGCAGCAATGGGGCATCTGAAAAGGAATGGGTCTGCAATGGAAAATTGGGGCCCACAGGGCCTGTCTGCAACTTCTGGATGGTGGACAGCTGCTTAGAGGCATGTCGTTTAGTGGCCAGAGTGTGGGGTCTGAAGGCACATTAGCCCACGCCGGAATACCGGCTCTGTCACCAAAACCATTTAACCTTCCAGAGACTGTCTCCTTATTTTTCCCATGGGTGGTGGGACTACATGATCATGGTGGGCCTCCTAAAGTATCACCCAACAGAATTTGTAGGCAGAACAGGAACGCAGAAAGCTCCCATTCATCCACTAAACAGGAAGGGTTCAGATCAGTGGTGGCCTTTACCATGGCCAAGACTGCCAGTGGGGTTCGCATCTCTGTTTCTCCCTCTCCATCCTTTGGTGCACAGGAGCAGGGCCCCCCACACGCCAAGGCACACAGGCCACCCAACCCGTACAGCCTTTTGTCAATGAGCCATGAACAAACCATACACAGAGAGAAGCTTCTTTTTTTCTCTTCAATTTAATTGAAGTTACTTAGAAAAATAATCAGGCTTGAATGGCTTTTCCTGGAGGAAGGTTCATGAACATTTCACGCTTTTGTTGGCAATGTGGAATTCAGCTTTCTTGAACGGTACAGTAGGAGACGGAGAGTTTTCTAAAACAAGCCCTCTACTGCATACAAATAGGTAAGAAAAAAAAATCACACTCCACAAAGATGTTAAGTTATATGCGCATATATCATACTGAGCATGCTCATAGGAAAACAGTACGGGCAGCCCCTTCTGTACCCAACAGAGTAGCAAACCGAAATTCGCCTGTGAACAGCCAAGGGGCAAGCTGATTATCGTAGGTCCTGTTGCCTGTTCATAGGGTCCGGTCAGCTGATGAGAAAAAGCTGGAAGAAATAAATGCTGGTTTTCGGAAATTGGGGGAGCCATGAGGTCAGTCCTGCTGACATAGGAGGGGGCCGGGAAGGGATTCTGGTCACCCGGATTGCACAGAAGGGGGCAGCTCATTTTGTGTGTGTTGGTGTGCATGGGGGAGGGGCAGTCTGTGAGGGACATGGTCTGACATCACCTACCGGGGACAGAGTCCCTTGGCTTCTTGCCAGTTTTGGACAGGGACTTCTACTTGTTCTGAGTAATCACTACCTCAGCAGTGGGCCAGACCCCACCAGCTAAGTGCGCCAGTGACTTTTTTTTTTTCTTCTTCCCCTGGGAACTTTCTACCAGCAGGAATTAGCCCCTTGTGCCTCCACACCAGGATGCTATCAGGAGGGTGGAGCTCACCTGGTGGACAGGGAGGAAGGAAGGTCTCCTCTGAGACACCAGAGGTCAACAGACTGCCTTTCTTCCCAGACCAGCTGGGGAGGCGGAGAGGGGGACGGGGAGGGTGGTCCAGAGAAGCTGCAGGAATTCAAACCCTGTGGCTAATATTCTAGAATTTTCCAACCAAAGGGATAGGTTAAGCAGGAATGTCCTTGTAAATACTACCCTAACTGTACCTGGTTTTGAAAACAGAGCAGCACCTTTGAAAAGTGGCTTGGAGGTGGGACACCTGCCTGTACTTTTCTCCAGCGAAGCATGCAATGAAAAGCGTTTTCAAACAGTTTTCTTAAAAACAAACAAAAACAAAAACACAAGCTTTTGCTTCCCAGGCACATTTTTACCCATGGATTCTTTTATACCAAGGACACAGAATACTTTCTACATTCTGCAGAACAGTTGATTCAGTTCTTTTTTTTTTTTTTTAATTTTTATGCCATTAGAAAATAAAATGTGAACACAAAACAAACACAAGGAGAAAGTCCCTCATTGCAGAACTACACTGATGTCTTGTCCCCTGAAGGACAGTCTTTCTCGCTTGAGAGAAGATGGATGAAAGGCGGTACTCTGCACACGGCCCGAGTGAGCTCACCCGATCCAACAAAGATGGTGGCTGGAACGCAGAGTTTGTGAAATCTATGGGAATTTCCATTGGAAAAACAAAAGCACATGGTGAACAATTCCAAACTCTGGAACTGAAGAAGCACTCCTGAAGGATTGAGCTCCCTCTGCGTGCTTTGAGCAACCTAAGGCTTGAGGAGTAAGGGGACTATTCTGTGGCCTTATGTCCCCTCCCCTTCCTCTGTCCACACCACTCAAGACCATCCTCTGCTCCCTTTGGGAGGGATGGAATCATTGCCCAGGGTAGTATCCAGGATTAAAACCATTGCACTTAAGTAAAAGTTTAATTGATTTGATAAAGTACCTCTGTTGCTATAAACCAGATAGAGATGGATTGGTACTGTTTTATTGTTTTGTTTCGGAGAAGGGTCAGGGAAGTCGTTTTATCTTTGATGACCTCAGATATGCTAAATCGACCTAACCAAAGTATATTCTGTGGAACATTTCTGTGAGATCTGCAAAATAGAGTATCCTGGTCACATAAGTTCAGGAAATGCTACCAACTCAATGATGCTTTTGGGGGTTCAAAATGCACAGCTTACATCCAAGGCTCTGAAAAGTCCCATAGAAAGGAAATTGACTTTGTTTCCCAAAGATATCTGACCTCAAAATGCTTTTTTTTCTTTCTCTTTCTTTTTTTTTGCATCACACTAACTTCACATCTCCTAGAACCTTTTTGTTCTGTGGAGCACATATCAGGAAATGCTGGACAATGTTTCATTAGCAGAAGCCCTGTTTTGGAGGACAGTGTCCCCTGCCTGGAAACAGGGCCCAGACTCCCAATTCCAGGGACAGCTGAGGTCTGTCGCTCTATTCAGTAAAATACACGGCATACATCTCTGTCCAAGGAGGGCACGGTCGCTGTGCCCTTCACAAAGGGGAGAGAGCTTGGACGAAGGGACACAACATTTTATAAAAAGCTTTGGCCGCCCCCTCCCCAGTGCACACCTCACTCACATTCAAAATCATGTCCTCAGTGAGATTCAGCAGCTGCTGCTGAACTGGCTGTGAGCTTTCCAATACAATTCTAATAGTTTCTGTGAATAAATTATTCATTTCTGTTTGTTTAGAATATTCTCACCCCTTTGCTATATACTGCATCAAAAACAAAACAAAAAGCAAAGCTTACCCACACCCCATCCCACCCCACCCCCTATCATTAGAACTATAGTTATTATATACAGGATTTGCTACCAAATCATTCACTAGTTGTAAGAGGGATGTGGCCAAACTTCAACCGAGGCATCGAAATGGCTGGAAAATGAGAAGCATGTGCAGATGGTAATTAGCAAGGAACAGGAAGTAGAATGTTTCCGACCTTCCGGAGGAAAGGGGGCACGGATTACAGTCGCAGAAGGCTGTCCTTGCTGCTCATGCATGGTGCTCGCCAAGGTGCGGATGGTCTCAGGCCTCTGGAGGACTTGGGAGGGGTATGTGCGTGCGTATGTGTACAGGGGGTCCACCTCTTGACCTTCACCAGGGGAGAAATGCCAGACCACTCCAGATCCCAAATGTACGAGGTCTGCCATAGCTTCTCACTCTTGCACATGGCAAAGAGGAGAGAACACTTCCACGCGGAGGCGTGGGTGCTGGGGCTGACGGGGCAGGAAGAGGCACTTGGCGAATGATCCCCTTCCCTCCCACCCAAGGCAGACATCACTAATCGGTGACAGCTCCCCTCCATGCTGTGCCTGGCGAATCTGTTCTGGGGCTTAAAGGTGGACACTACCAATCCACTGGAGTGGACACATGATGGGAAACACTTCTGTCTTCTCTTGTGTTGGGCGATGAGCCTGGATTACTCATCAAGTGGCCTGTTCTAAGTGTGTGGTTTTCAAATTTGGGCCAGAGAAAAACACAAATCTGTAGGGGTCATGGACCTTCTGGGGTTGTTCAAAATGGTCCAAACCTCATGTAAAGTCCATGAATATGAGGGGTTTGCTAATTGTCAAGCTGGAAACTGTGTCCACATAAAGCTTGAGGGCCGAGACCATTGGTTTTGTTCCATGCTCTATCCGCAGGGCCTATAATTAGGCCCAGCACATAGTAGTTGCTCAATAAATACTTGCTGACTATAAAGTAACAGCCACTTCACTATCACAACTGGCACTGCCAGTTAAAAATTTCCGTAGAAAAGCCTATTCTATCAGACTGCTAATCTGGTGGAAAAGGAAGGAAAAAAAAAAAAAAGCTACACTCAGCTCTTCTCCTTGGGTTAAAAAAAAAAAAAAATCACATTTTTTTTTTTCCTAGCGCAAGGGACTCTTGGGTTGCTTGGAATCTGTTTGGACTCAGTCCCTTGCAAAGGTGCCTTTTTCTATTTATTTCTCACCGATTTCCAAGAAGGGTGGTATCAACAGACATCGCAAGGGTTATCACACAGTTAACTCTGTGACCGGTTAGTGAGGAGAACCTTCATGCCCCAGAATGAGCCTGTAGCAAGCACAGAACAAAAACACACATTTCTTCTGCAAAGACATTAGGATCTTGCTGCCACAGAAAGAAATCTACACAGAGACCATGTTTAAATAACGATAAATAATATTAATGAGAATTTCTGGGATGCACAATTCGTGGAATTCACCAGAGCGCGAGGGAACCTCTGAGGCAGTGTTGCGGGTACCCGCGTCTGAGCCCAAGGACGCACCCATCCTATTTCCCTGCAAAGACAGCCGTCCTTCCCTCCTAAGGATTTTAAATAATTCTCAACCATGCTGCTCGCAGCATCATTCCCCAAAGAAATATTACTTTACAAAATAACCCAATATCCATATAATTTCTTTTGACAAATAAAAATCTTAAATTAAAAAGCACGATTCTCTCCCCTCTCCCCACGCCCCCTTTACTCCAACTTCAGGTAGCTTGGCACTGAGTAATTGAACATTAAAAAATCGAGTTTGTAGACTTCGTACAGCTGCGTTTGGTGCTCCGAGCTGATGTTCTGGAAGAACTCTGTGGTCATCTCGTCAGTAGTTCTCGTAGACTTGGCATAGGTGGGGAACCTCAGGTAGCTGCCCACGCCCGCCAGCCGCAGGACGTAGTTGGAGTCCTCCTCCAGCGTCTCGTACTTGCCCACGAGGTCGTAGTGGATGTGGCACGGATGGCAGAGCGAGTGCACGGTCTGCCAGTGCTCGTTGAAGGGCTCCTCGCGCTGCGTGTGCGGGTCGATGAGATAGGCCACGAACTCCTCGAAGCGCACGTCGTCACCCCTGCGCAACGCCTCCTGCGTGGCGTTCTTGCGCTGCCGCCGGATGATCTTGGTGCCGTAGCGCTTGTGGAAGGACGTGTTGTACTTCTGCGTGAACTTGTTGCGGTAGGCGGACACCAGGCGCTCGAAGGGCTCGCGCACAAACAGGAACTTCATGTAGCTTTTCAAGCGGTGGTTGATTTCTGGGATGCTGTACTGGTTCAGCGTCTTGAGGTTGGCCGCCACGTGCGCCTCGCTGGCCGGGATCTCCATGGGGTCGCTGTACTTGCCCCGCCCGGTGAGCACCATCATGAGCCGCTTCCAGTTGGTGCACGCCACCTTGGGCACGTAGCAGTAGATGAGCTCGTGGTCCTCGTCCACCACCAGGTGCTTCAGGTCGCTGGGGGTCAGCACCCGCCGCTTGCGGCTCAGGGCGCTGTTGGCGCGACAGGTGTCCGTGACCTGGTCGCGCCTCATCTGGTGCAGGACGGCGGTGTTCGAGAGCTCCAGCTGCAGAGGGGACACAAGAGGAACACGAATTCAGTACGAGCGCGGGAGATGGGCCCTTGGGCCGCGTCCACAACCACGACGGCCAGCGGGCCCCCCCCACCCCGCCCCGCGGGCACCCCCCCACCCCGCCCCGCGGGCACAGCCGGCCCACGACCGAGATGGCAGGTCGGTCCTCCTTCCTAATTCTCCACCCCAGCTGCCTCGACTCTTTGGGTTCTTTGTTCCACCATGTTTCCTTTGTGGAGTAATAGTAATGATCAACTCTAGCTTACGCATCACCCTCTACCTGCCTGGCATTTTACTGGTGGGCTTCGCGTTGGCTGTTTTTCTTCTCCCTGTACAACCACCTAGAAACGGGGTTGATTTAACAGTATCAAGGACCCGCCCCCGTTGCCAGGAAGCCTGCTGCCAGGCACTGGGGATGCGGCCATAAAACATACAAGGAGGCAACTGCCCTTATGGAGCTGACCGTCTAGCTGTTAAGAGAGAGGGAACTGAGGCTCAGAGAGGTTAAGTCACCAGCTTGAGATCACACAGTGAGCAACCGACTCCGTATTCAAACTAGGGTCCTCCTGGCAACGAAGGCCGCCCACTTTGCACGCTACCCTGAGGTCCAGTACTCCCATCTTCTTGATTGAAGCATGGGGACTCTGGCATTTGATTGATCTACTTTAAAGCAAGGGGATCCAATTTCTCTACAAGCCTATCACTGTGAACATCTGCTGCCTTGTGCGTCTTCTGGTGCCAGTGCCTTGCTGCCTCTGGGAACCCACTTTCCTCCATTCCCAGTTAGTTCCTTTTCCCTCTCAAGCAGCTGTGCTGGGAGAATGGCAGCCTGGAGCTTGGGGACAGGGAGGAAGGCCACCATGCAGGGAGAGCTAGACTGGGAAGGGAGGGTACAAAGAGATGAGAAGACAGAGGGACGTACTCCCCGTGCTGTCACCTCAATACCTGGGTCCATACATTGCTGAGACCAGACCCCTCAACTCCTGGACTTTTGTGACATCAGTCGGTACATTTGCTTTGGTGCATAAAGCAGTGTGAGTCTGGATTCTATCGTTTTGAACCCAAATATATGGGTATTGGCATTTACTACCCTCAAGCTTTTCTTCTCTGCCATATTCATCCATTGATGTATCCATTCAAACACGTGTCCAGACCTCACAGTGTACAGCACTCGGCTCAGCACCCTTGGGAGACAGAACATTTTCCTAAAGGGCTCACAGTCAAGGAGGCATCAGACCAGAGAGAGCTGGTGGCCTCAAAAGGGCCCAAAGGGACAGGATGTGTGTGTGCTCCTCTAAATTCTAGGAACAAAAGTTTCTCCTCACAGGCCATATACTGGGAGCCAGTCCTTAGAGTCCACCTAGAGTAGGAAACAAACAACACCTCACCACCCTGGTGTGCTGACAACCCTATTGTTGTTGCTTAAGGCCATGCCTCCATCTACCCTCCTGAATGTGCAGTGTGGTTCTTCCTTTAAATATCAAGGACATTGATATTAATTATGGTTAAAGCTATAGAGAAACTGGCGCACCACAGCTATGGAATAGCCGGTCTGGGGCCGCAGAGGACATGGTGTCCTGGTTGCCTTCCTGCCCCGAGAACACAGACCTCATCCATGCACTTGTCTTTGATGCCCTCCATAGTCCCGCACCAACTTACCTTTCCAGTCTCATTCCTACTCCTCCCCTGTTCAGAACGAAAGGGAGCTCCAGAGAAATATCAATGATTCACTCTTTTCCCTTTGTTTTTTAATTAAAAAAATTTTAAATCCCAATATAATCAACATACAGTGGTATATTATAATATATATACCGTGGTATATACAATGTACCTCGTGCCTCATCTGGTGCAGGGTATACAATATATTGATTGGTTTCAGATACATAATATATTGATTCAGTAATTCTGTACATTACTCAGTGCTCATCATAAGCATATCCTTGATCCCCTCCACCTATTTCGCTCCCCCCCCGAACCCCCCCCCCAGTAACCACCAGCTCTATTTTTTTTTTTTTTTTAAGATTTTATTTATTTATTTGAGAGAGAGAGAATGAGAGAAAGCACGAGAAGGAAGAGGGTCAGGGGGAGAAGCAGCCTCCCTGCTGAGCAGGGAGCCCGATGCGGGACTTGATCCCGGGACTCCAGGATCATGACCTGAGCCGAAGGCAGTCGCTTAACCGACTGAGCCACCCAGGCGCCCCAGCTCTCTATATTTAAGAGTATGTTCGCCTCTTTCTTGTTTTGTTTCTTAAATCCCACATATGGGTGAAATCATATGGTATTTGTCTTTCTCTGACTTCTTTCACTTAGCATAATACCCGGTAGATCCAGCCGTGTTGTTGCAAATGGCAAGATTTTATCCTTGAAAAATTCCATTGTGTGTGTGTGTGTGTATCAAACACATCTTCTTTATCCATTCATCTATCTTTAGACACTTAGGCTGTTTCCATATCTTGGCTATTGTAAATAATGCTGCAACAAACATAGGGGTGCATATATCTTTTTGAACTAGTGTTTTCATATTCTTTGGGTAAATACCCAGTATTGCAATTACCAGATCATATGGAAACTCTGTTTTTAATATTTTGAGTAACTTCCATACTGCTTTCCACAGTGGCTGCACCACTTTGCATTCCCACCAACAGTGCACGAGGGTTCCTCTTTCTCCACATCCTCGCCAACACTTGTTTCTTGTGATTTTAGCGATTGACAGGTGTGAGGTGATACGTCACTGTGGTTTTGATTTGCATTTCCCAGATGGTGAATGATGTTGAGCGTCTTTTCAAATGTCTGTTGGCCATCTGTTTGCCTTCTTTGGAGAAATGTCTGTTCATGTCTCCTGTCCATTTTTAAATGGATTATTTGTTTTTTCTGGTGGTGGTTTATAGAAAGTCTTCATGTATTTTGGATATTAACCCCTTATTGGATGTATCATTTGCAAATATCTTCTCCCATTCAGTAGGTTGTCTTTTAGTTTTGTTGTTTCCTTTGCTTACAAAGCTTTTTCTTTTTTTAATTTTATTTTATTATGTTATGTTAGTCGCCATACAATACATCACCAGTTTTCGATGCGGTGATCCACGATTCATTCTTTTCGTACAACCTCCAGTGCTCTATGCAGTACGTGCCCCCCTTAATACCCATCACCGGGCTAACCAATCCCCCCTCGCCCCTCCCCTCTAAAACCCTGTTTTATTTCTCAAGTCCATGGTGTCTCATGGTTCATCTCTCCTTCGGATTCCCCCCTCCCCTTCATTTTTCCCTTCCTTCTCCTAATGTCCTCCATGCTATTCCTTATGTTCCACAAATAAGTGAAACCATATGATAATTGACTTTCTCTGCTTGACTTATTTCACTTAGCATAATCTCCTCCAGTCCCATCCATACTGATGTAAAAAAAAAAAGTTGGGTATTCATCCTTCTGATGGCTGATTAATATTCCATTGTATATATGGACCACATCTTCTTTATCCATTCATCTGTTGAAGAGCATCTCGGCTCTTTCCACAGTTTGGCTACTGTGGACATTGCTGCTATGAACATTGGGGTGCATATGACCCTTCTTTTCACTACATCTGTGTCAGAGCTTTTTCTTTTTCTTTTCTTCTTCTTTATTGCTGTAGTCCCAAAAGTGTATTTTTGTTTTGGTTTCCCTTGCCTGAGGAGACGTATCTAGAAGAAAAGTTGCTACAGCTGATGTCAGAGAAATTACTGCCTATGCTCTCTTCTAGGATTGTTATGGTTTCAGGTCTCACATTTAGGTCTTTCATCCATGTTGAGTTTATTTTTGTGTATGGTGGGAGAAAGTGGTCCAGTTTCATTCTTTTGCATGTAGCTGTCCAGTTTTCCCAACATCATTTGTTGAAGAGACTGTCCTTCCCATTGCATATTCTGGCCTCCTTTGTCATAGACTAATTGAGCATATAATCATGGGCTCTCTATGTGTCTATTTTTGTGCCAGCTTTGATTACTACAGCTTTGTAGTATATCTTGAAATCTGGGATTCTGATGCCTCCAGTTTTGTTCTTTTTCAAGATTGCTTTGGCTACTCAGGGTTTTTTGTGGTTCCATACACGCTTTAGGATTGTTCTAGTTATGTGAAAAAGTCTGTTGGTATTTTGATAGGGATTATACGGAATCTGTAGATTGCTTTGGGTAGTACGGACATTAACAATATCTGTTCTCCTAATCCACAAGCATGAAGTATCTTTCCAGTTGTTTGTCATCTTTAATTTCTTTCATCAGTGTTTTATAGTTTTCAGAGTACGGGTCTTTCACTTCTTTGGTTAGGTTTATTCCTAGGTATTTTATTCTTTTTGGTGCAGTAGTAAATAGGATTGTTGTCTTAATTTCTCTTTCTGCTGCTTCATTATTAGTGTATAGAAATGCAACAGATTCCTGTATATTGATTTTATATCCTAAAACTTTACTGAATTTGTCTATCAGTTCCAGTAGTTTTTTGGTGGAGTCTTAAGGGTTTTCTATATATAGTATCATGTCATCTGCAAATAGTGACAGGTTTACTACTTCTTTACTAATGTGGATGCCTTTATTTCCTTCTCTTGTCTGATTGCTGTGGCTGACACTTCCAGTACTATGTTGAATCAAGGTGGTGAGAGTGGACATCCTTGTCTTGTTCCTGATCTTAGGGGAAAAAACTCTTTTGAGTTTTTCACCATTGAGTATGTTAGCTGTGGGTTTGTCATATACGGCCTTTAGTATGTTGCGATATGTTCCTTCTAAACCTACTTTGTTGGGGTTTTTATCATGAATGGATGTTGTACTTTGTCAAATGCTTTTTCTGCATCTATGCAAATGATCATATATGGTTCTTATCCTTTCTATTAAGTTGATGTGATGTATTATGCTGATTGATTTGCAAATATTGAATCACCCTCGCATCCTGGGAATAAATCCCATTTGATTGTGGTGAATTATTTTTTTAATGTATTGTTGGATTTGGTTTGCTAGTATTTTGTTGAGGATTTTTGCAT